CAGATTTCTGCTGATTTTTCTGGCACAGTACAGCGGGAGCTGACCAGGGCAGCCTCCTGCATAAAACATCTGCTCTGCAGCCTTGTTTGCCTTCCAAAATCCTCCATACTTGTAAAGACCAACCTGCACAGAACTGGCACAGAGACACTCTGGGTTCCAAGCAGAGGCAAAACCTTCACTGGTATTTCCAGTGACTATTACAAACTACTTTGCTGAACTTTGAATACTCCGGGTGCTTCTTGTTGAGCACATCCCATGTCAACCTGAGTATCCACTCAGGAGATGTCTGAAGAAAGTGATTAAGAGAAGCAAAACCATATATGCCATCCTGCAACCTAAAAACATGGCATTTCTAGTAAGGTCCTTATTTACAGAAAGAATTTTGCAAGGATTCACCAACCATTAAAAATCACGTCCATGGAGAAAACTCATTATTCTTCATGTCATCTCATTTCACATGTTCAGAAAGAGCTGTAAATTGTCTAGCATTCATACTTTTAAACTATGAGCCCCACCCTGCACGAGTTAATTGGGCAAAAGACCTATTGCCACTTTACACTGAGAGGCTGAGAACTGGGTCTCTGCTGATTTTTAAAAGTCTTGTTTCCTTTACTTGCACTAAACACAGCTACAATCTGATAAAAAAATCTCCCCACTTTCAACCACATTTTCAGAGAATAGATGAGTTTGATGAATTTCCCTGAAGTGGTTAAAAGAAAGATCTTATTTTTCTCTGTGTAGGAGTAATTACTTTGCCAGGCATTCAATAATCTTGTCTTGACACAAATCATATTTGCAGTTTGATGAGATTTCAGTATTGCTATAAGATTAAAGAAGTCAACACTTATTTTATATTAAGATGTGCCTGCACTCAACATTTTGCTTTTATTTGTGGTGAAATATAGCTCCATGGGTAAAGGCATCTCCTCTGATGCTGATGTCCAAGTAGAAAAAAGGAAAAAGGAGTACAAGCCCTCCTAAGATTACAGCCCTTAAGCCCTTTGTGGACATCAAATCTATCTCTTACCTTACTTGGGGCAAAACCCCCTTGTATCTCCCAGACAGCTGTCAAAGTCCTCAGCTCTGCCATTCGTGTTGTTTCTTGACAATGTAAAACTCTGCTGCGTTTTGAGCTTTTGAAATAATGGCAAGAAGAAGCTGAACTGAATCTAACATTAACAACTGGAATCAGGGAATATTGCATATATTGCATATGCGTTGAGTGTTCTGGTGTAGAAAGGCAACAAGGTGCCATTGCACCCCTGCAGTATCCCAGCTCCTGAGAGCTGCATCTAACAGGATGCTGTTCCTACAATCACATGGATCTGGGAAGATAGTACAGTAGGAAATATGTATTATACAATGTGGGGCTTAGCACACAAATTAGCATTGAACTTTGCACGTCCCAACTGAAAAAGGCAGCTGCTGCCAGCGAAGGAGATACAAATGCTCTTCTTCCATACAGGCCAGCTGCCTCACAAACATATTTCACATGTGATTAAGGGAGAGTAGAGGTAAGATTTTCACAAAAACTAAAGTCAAGTTTTTGGTAAAGACCTACTTTGCAGAGGGGTTGGAAGGACTTGGAGAAGTTCTCTATAGCCTGTGTGAATTATTCAGATCAGGATTTTAAAATCCACAGCTCCATGGAGACCTCACCAAGAATTCCTGACTGGAAAACCCAACACACTCTACTGCTGCGGCTGCCAAAAAGCAGACAGTGAAAAAAAATATGCCTTTACCCATCAAGAAGGGTAATAACTCCCTTCCCCAAGCCCATGTGAGTAGCCCACAATTGTTAACTAGTCTAGGCAAAACAAGTAAGGTTGTGTCTCTGTGTTCAGAATATCTGACAGCATGAAGGATTGAGATTGACAAAAACAGTTCCACAAAATAGACTAAAAAGCTTGGTAAGAGAGAAAAGATGAGGAGAATAGTTCATTGGACTTGAGTACTGAGTGGGAAAGGGAACAGAGAGTCAGGTAAAAATGAGGGTAGGTTTTCAAGTCATGAAGACACTTAAGACTTTGTAGAGCAAACCAAGGGGTAATGAAGGACAGGAGAGCTGGTTGTCAATTCAGCAGAGGGCTAAATGAGAAATGGCTACAGTGCATGATTTAATTGAAGTTGGGCAGATAAAGTCTTGGAAAGTCAAGACAGGGGGAAAATGGATGAATAAAAAACAATTTTGTAAAAAAAAAACAGAATATAAAACTACTAGTAACTGATGCCTTAGCTAGTACCACTATCTGGAAAGTAGGATTTTTTAGTGTTGATTCTTCCAGAACTTTTATTGTATAAAAATCTAGTCTGTATTTTTCAAAAGCCAAAATATAGGAGGGGAAAATATTCTCTGTCAGAGAGCCTTTTTTGATTAGTAAAGAAATGCAATGGTAACATAAACCACTCAATATTGCGGAAATACTTGTAAAGTAGCTGAAGCACATAGTAAAGACCAAACCTATATCTGCTTCCAGTTCAAACCGACAACAAAATTGGTGGCAGTTTTGAACACCTCAAAATGTATGTAGTGGTTGAACATAATATAACGATCAAATGTCAGCCTTAGCTATTGTGAAATGGGTATTCCCCACAAGTCCTGACTATGTTCAGTCTCTGTTCTCATTTCCTGACAGAGGAAGAAGTACCATGATATGATCAAGGGCCTCTGTGGAAATGGGGTTAGGGGTCTTGGCAAATCAAGGTACATTCATCTGGTTTACCCCACTGACACACACTTGGGTACCCAGAAATTATTTGTACCAGTTGAGTTTCTCTAATTGCTTTCAGATCTAGAAGAAGTTTGTTTCACTAATATTTATCTGTCTCCAGCAATAACCCTGTTTGGTGCAGAACTCACTTCTGTTTTAGATTTTCAGGGAAAGAAAGAAAATATATATTAGGTCTTGGTTCCTATGGTCATAAAATTACCCTAAGTATACAGTCAGTTTAAACTGTCAGAAAAGAAAGAAGAAACTGTTTCTTGATACAGATTAATGTTTTCCCTTGTAATCTAACAACCAGAAATTGAATGGATGTGTGGTTAATTTTAGACCCAAATCAAATACAGATCCCAAATCAATGTCTTACAGTCCTTTCATTATCTGAAAATAAAAGGCAGAAAAAATCAGCTGTCATGAATAAGTAATTATTTTAATTTTAATGCCATACTTTGTGACCTGACAGCAATTCTTCTAGTTGAACTCTATCCTTTCACTTATCTGGGGGGGGGAAGTATAAATCATGTTAAAGTAATTGCACATGTAAATGCCCTAGAAACAAGATACCTTCACGCTGAAACAACTAGAGGCTCTCCTCGCAGCCTTAACTCCGGTGAGATCTAGAGGACGGAAATCACTGTTAAAACTCATGAGGAATCAGATGCCGCCGTCGAAGAAACGAACACGCGGATTTTCACCTCACTGACTTTGAGCTGTTTTGCGGGGTTTACAGCGTAGCTCGCTCTTGTCCGTCCCAGCCCTGATGCTCTGAGAGGTCAGGGGGGCGCGGGAGGAGCGGGCAGCGCGAGGGCGCGGAGTGCCGCAACCGGGGCCAGCGGCTCGGGGGCGGCGGGACGCCCGCAGGCCGGGCCCGAGCGGGAGCGGTGCCAGCGCCGCCCCGCACCGCCCCGCCGCCGGGCCGGGAGGATTACCGCCGGCGGCAGCGGCGGGGGGCCTCGGCGCAGGGACGGGGAGAGCGGGATTAGTATTAGCGCCGCTTGCTCCTGCTCCCGGCTGGATCGGCTCCGAGACAGGGATTAGTGCAGCCAGCGACCACCGAGGCGGGACCGAGGCGGTGGGAAGGGAGAAAAGGCGACAAGCGGACGCCCGGCCGCCAGCTGCGGCCCCCGTCCCCGATTTCCCCCGGGGGACGCGGGGGATGCGCCCAAGGGGGTACGGCCCGCCCCGGCCCCGTGGCTTCGCTGCCGCCCCGGGCTCCGCAGCCCCAGATCCCGCGGAGAAGCGGCGAGTCCTTCGGGCGGCTGCAGCCGGCTGCCCCTGTCCCCGCCCCGTGCTCTCGCCGCTGCCGCGGGCGTCTCCCCGCCCCTCGCCGCCCCTCCGCGCCCTGCCGGCGCGAACGACCGGGATGGTTGGAGGCGGCGACAGCTCCGACAAGAGGGGCGAGGGCCGGGGGCGGCGATTCCCCTCCGCCGACACCTGCTTGACGTAAGCCCGGCGACGCTCGGCAGCAGCCCCAAGGTGCCGCTGGCAGCAGCGCCGCCCACAGCGAGCCCCACAAGGACGCGCGGCCGCCCCGCTCCGCGCCGCCCGGGGACCCTCACGCCTCGCCCGGCGCCGCCGGCGGGGCGGGGCGGGGAGCGGGGCGCGCCCGCCGCGCTCCAGTCCGGCTTTGTCTCCGCCTCCGCCGGCGGAGCGTCCCGGGGACAGCGGGAGGGCGGCGGGAGACGGAGCGGCAGCGGCGGGAGACAGGGAGAGAGACAGCGGCTCCCACGTCCTCGCCGCGCATAGTCCGATGCCCGGCAGCTCGAGGCGAGCAGCGACTACGCTTCCCTGCCGTGGCACAGCGAGTACCTCCAGCCTCGGAGTTTTCCTGAAGCAGCCGTCACACCGGGAGCACTTTTGGTAGAGAGGGACCGGGAGACCCCGAAATGACTTACCTCCCGAGGATCGACTGAAGGGGACTTACTGGAGTGGAACCGTAGAGGAATTTGGATCTGGAGAGGAGTTGCTAACGCTTTTTTTTTTGCCTTTTTTTTTTTTTATTTTTATGCTTCTCTCTGATCACTCCCCTCTTCGTCCATCATTGGAAATGAACAAATTGCGTTTGCAATTCAGAAAGTAGAAATATTAAATATACCATCCCCCGGGAAGCACCCATGTAGTAATGACAAAGGATTGCAAAGGAGAGAGTGGCTCCAGTTTCCCAGAGAGATCCCCTAAAATGGATTACTAAATGGGACACTACATCAGCTAGTTGTCCTCTAGCTGCCCAGATACATGCACCGAAAAGGTACAGTACCCCCCTGTCCGTACCCCTACCTTATGTTTTGGGATTGCTCGGAAGGGGAGGCTCACGGATCGCCCGGCCGGCTCGGAAGGAGCGAGGGTGGTGTGTTGTTTGAGGTGGGCTGCTTCTGCCTGCTATCTCGACATCGTTTGCAGCGCCTAGGGAGGAGGAGAGCCGCCCGCAAGTGTACACGCTGCGCTTGCTGTTGTCACTTTCCCGGCATCTCGTGGCTTCGTCTTTTTTTCCCTTTTTTATTTGCCCATCTTTTTCTTCCCTCCCCCCCACCCTCCCCCCAAGTGCCTAACATGCGATCCTCCCTCCCCTAGCCCTTGGCCCTTGCATGCGCTGTGCTGGGGCTCCTCGCCTCGCATCCCCGAGCCCTTACTGGCAGGGGTCGCGCCCGCCCGGGCTCCGTGGGGAGCGGGGCGGCCGCGGGACGCCGGGCCAGGGCCGCCGGGCGCCTACCCCGGGGCCTCCGGGCAGCGTGTGGGGCTGGGTGCTGGGGTCTTTGTTACAAGAACTATGTGTGCGCTCCGTGTAGAGGCGTAACCCCGCCGTCTCTGCCGTTCCCGCGGTGTAGCTGCGTCGCGGCCGATGTATTTCTTTAAGGGTTTTTTTCCGAGGCTGGCACTGCATTTTGGGGGAAGTGGCCGGGAATCGAGGCAACTTCTTCCGCGGAGCAGCCCTAGGCGCAGCCGCGGGCTTTGTTCGCGATCGTGGGCTGGGGCCGCGGGCTCACCTCCCCGCCCGTTCCCCACGGACAGTGGCCGCCTTGCCCTCCGTCCTGGCCCCGGCGAAGGTGGGATGCCGGCTGCCCTGCCTCAGCCCCGCGAAGGGTGGCTCTGGAGTAGGGATGCTCCCCGCCCCTTTCTGCCGGGCGCCCCAAGCCTCTTTCCCCCGGGCCGGCGGCACTGCCAAGAAGCTTTTCCTTGGCCGGGGAGCGCAGGCGGACGGGCTGGCCAAGGCCAGACCCCTCCGTGGCCGCCCGGCGGGCGGGAAGCCGTGCACGGCAGCGCAACTCTTCTCCCTCCGCCCAGCACTCGCCCTGTCGCTCCTTCAGCCCCTCTCCGCCCTCGGGCTCCGGGCCAAATGGGAGAAACGGCGGAAAAAAAGAAAGTTTTTTTAAATGGCGAGTAGCAGGGTTGGCCCTCCAGGAGGGGCTGCAGGCTGCCGACGCGGCGCCCCAAAAACGCCCCACGCCGCGAGTCTGGCGGCGGGGCGTGGGGACGCCGGGCGGGGACCGGGAGCGGGGCTGCTTCGTGCCGCGGTTGCTGAGGTTGGGAGAAATGCCGAGGAGGGAACAGCATGATGCTGAGATGAGGAAAGGATGCTGAGCATGGGACAGGATGATGCTGAGCAGGAAAGGGATTTCACCCCGCACGCACATCCCCGTCCCCTTATCTGCACGGGCAGGGAAGGCTCCTGTGCCTCCGTCTGCGGAGCGCTGGCAACACGGCGCCGAGGCACGAGGGGCGGCGGCGGTGGCTCGGGCAGGCCCTGGGGCGGCCGAGGGTCAGCACCGCCCCTCGCTCCGCCGCCAGGGAGGGCGGTGGAAACTTTGGGTCTCCATCACGCGTGAGGAAAGTACCTGCTTCTTGCGAGGGCTCGGCCGTCCCACTGCCCCTTTCTTCGTGCCTGCCTGCCTGGCTGTACAAGGGAGGCGTTCCCGGGGGTGGACCGGACGGCGTGCGGATAGAGAGCTGGCGGGGAAAGCGAGGCTGAGGCTGAGGCTGCAGCCCGGTCAGTTGCAGTGGAGATGCTCTTCTGCCTGTCGCCACCGCCGCTGTCCTGCCTAGCTCATCCCTGGGTGAGTCCTAAGGCAGTAAGTGCTGGGTTTCCCTTGGGCAAATGGCTCTGGCCGCTTGTTCAGGAGATAATTTGTTCTCCTGTTCCTCTCCCGAGATAATTGCTGCTTTTGAAGTTTGTAAACATGGACGTTTGTGCCAGCGTCTGTGCAGCACGGATATTTGGCTGCTGCAGAAAATTATTTCACTGATGGAGCAGCAGAAAAGAATGGCTTTAGTTAGGTCTGTGATAAACTGTAAAACATACTAATTCCTGGCGCTGTAAGGTGAATGCTTCATTTTCTAAAGGCACACACACAGCATGCAGGTGTTGTAAATAACGAAGTGCTAAGTGTCCACAACCATTTTCTGTCACAGGGCTGCACGAAGTTGCTTGTTATTTGACATGGATTCTAACTTGTTTTGTATCATCCAGCAACTACATAATTACTTACTTGACCTCAAAGATAGTAGCTAAAGGTGTGATTTTCCCCACTGTCTTTGTAACAATTGGTGTGCATTCATTTAATTTAAGTGTCATCCAGTAAACCATTCTCATCCAAAGTCCAGTGCAGCCAGGCTCTTTTGATTCAAAATTCAATTCTCAAAATTCATTGAGACTTTGTAGCTTTCTCTCAAGGTAAGATTTATGCAGCTGTTATCATGCTCAGGTTTTCTTCTGCCATTTTTTTCAGATTAGAAACGCAAAATGATCTTTCTGTGGTTTGCTTCTCTTTTTTCCTTTTTTTTTAAATTTATTTTTTTTTAAATTGTTTTAGTGTATTGTGGTCTGCTCTAACAAATCTCTTCACGGAATTACTTTGAACAATTGGTTGAAAGCAAGTAACAGATACAGTAGGATCGGGAAGGTTTGTCACTATTAAAGAAGTACAGTTGCCAAGGTGTTTCACTGTCTAGGGTTTCCTTTTATCTAATAAGAGTCTGTTTTTAATATGGTAGCTTCTCATAAGTTACAAGACAGAGAGAACTGACTCTCTTTAAAGCCAAATAATTTCATATGCATAAAAAAGCTGGTTTCTGTTCTCCACCACTCTTCACCGGAGAAAATCTCTGGCATTCATGGAAGCTTAGCTAGGAGCAGCATGCCCAGATGAGATTTCTGCTAAATGCTAAACACAATTTAAAATAGTAAGTAATACTGTAATGTATATTTGCAACATTTGCTTTTCATGTACTAGGCACCAAAGGCTTGAAGCGCAGGTGAATGATTTCAGAGACTACAAACTAGGCAGTCACAGATGTTCTGTGTGTTCTCAATTAGTCTACTTGAACACTGCATATTCTTACTTAATGTCAAACCAGCCTTATCAACTGAACTCATACTACTTGAACCAAAAAATAATTGGGCACTGACATCTATGAGGAAGATGGCTAGTTAACATTTCTAGCTGCTTGAAGATGAAAGTGAGTTTTAGCCATAGTCCCTTCTTTATGTTTGCAAATAGAAGGTTGCGGTTACTGGTGTTTAAGACTGAAGAAGGAGGTAGGTCGGGCTAAGAGTGAGGAGTTGCCTTCACTAAATTTTCGAAAGGAACTGAAAAAAAAAAGAAAAAGAAAAAGGAAAGGACAGAGATCAAATTAATGACCTGTGAAAAATCCAGACGAGAATTGTTTGCATCAGAAAGGAAGTAGGTGATTGTGAACTTGCTTGTGCATGTTTTGTGAAGGGAAGGGGAAATTTGTCATCTTGTTTTGAAGAGCCATACATAAATACACATGAAAGGAGCTCACATGGTTTACAGCAGGGGAGACATAAAATGTTTTAGGATTAAATTGACCTGAGCTAATACATGTCTCACATCCAGCTTCTTTGCAAGAACACATTGTTATACTACTGAAACAAATGTTTTGTGTATAGTACCTGATTCCCATATGCTGTAGCAGAATGCTGAAAACAAACAAGCCAGTAAATCCTGAAATTCTGGAAAACAACATTGAAATTACATTAGATGCAGCATACATGCTAGAGAAGTTCAACTGTACTAAACCAGAAGTCTTCACTATCCTAATTTGATACAGATGCTGCAGTATTTGACCTGCTACTATTCATTTATTGATGAAGTAAATCTTTAGCCCTAACCTTTTGCAGTCTCATTCACCCAAGCAAGCTTTGCTGACCCAGGAAAGCCTTGCCTACTGGAGTAGTTTTCTAAAAGTAAATGCAGTTGCTGAAATATTACTTAAATGTGGACTTTTTTTTGTGTGTTTAAGCCGCAATCTGAAAATACTGTTTTCTGCTGGGAATCAATACTTGCTAAGGACCTAAAGCTATCCTCTGAGTACATTTGGTCTGGACTGATCCTTAATGTTATAAGTCAGACCTAGATCTGTGTATCATGGAACAAGTCACATCCAACAAATTGTGACAAGCTTTGTTTGACAGGGCAAAAGAAAAATAAGAGTGATAAGCAATGATTTTTACTGGTGACCATTTGAGCATTTTATGTTCATATGTTCAGTGTATCAGGATTATTCTTAGGTGGGCAAGACATTTTGACAGCAAGATAAAGTCAGTAGCACAAAGTCTGACTGCTGATCAACAGCATATAGTAATCATGAGCAGCATTCTAACGCAGAAGTAATCAGCTGGGGAAAAGCCTGGACCTGAGCCTGACAGTTCTCTAAAGGAATATTTTCATTCTTGGCCTGTGGCACCAGTCCTCTGAGTAAGGAATGGCTTAAATATGCATGGGGTCTGTGAAAGTAAAAGTGGACTACTCCAGTTCAAGCACAAACCTGGCAGAGCAGAGTTTGTATGCCTCTATTTTCTTTATGTGCTATATTACCCATGGCCATGGAAATAATTGAGTGTTTATGTTTCTGCAGTGTTAAGAATCTCTAATTATCCATGGTGAGGGTTGCTTTGGTTTTTGGGTCTTGATTGCAACATGTCAATATGGCAGCACATGCCCAAGGCATGGCTTTAGGTTTTAAAGGGAAGAGTGCCACCTACTGTGTTATAATTTTAGGTATTGCAGCTCCTGTGTGTCTTGTGGAGTTCCCAAGCTTCTCATTTGCCTATTTTGTTCTAACCTCTGGAAGATGTGAAAGGATTCAAAATTATATGTGGCATGGAATGGAGAGAGAGAAAAAAGAAAATAAGTATAAAATCAGGGTGTTCTGGAAGTCTTAGGAGAGGCTCTTTGAAGACCAGGCATACATAGAAACATTTTCAATTTTTGGCATTTCTTATAGAGTTTGGTATTGCTGGAAACAGGGAAGGGGGTAAGATATCTATGCTTTCCCCCATAAAATAATAATGTTCTCAGTTTTAATGCACCAGATGAACAAAAATGAGGCTACCAGGTTTATGACCTTTAAAATCTAAAGCTTAACTCTGGCTATAGTTTAATTAAAAGAAAGTAGAATTCACTTAAAAAGACAAAACAAACAGAAAAACACAACAACAACAACAAAAAACCAGATTTCTTAAAAGGGGGAAGGTGAGAAAAACCCTGGATGAATTCTCCTGTAACTTGCTGCAAAATTTCATGAAGTCTTTGCTAGTATAGAACTGTTGTTATTTATCAGCCCAAAGGAGGGCCGTAATAGTGCTTGATGTGAATACAGAGACATTTTTGTATGAAAGAAATTTTTCCCCAAACCCCAGAGTGTTTTTTAGTGGCTGAAATAGAGATGTAAAATAAAGAAGATAAACCAGCTATTAACAGAACTGCCAGTTGCTGTATCTTGAGAGTGAAGACATATGGTAATTCACTACATTCAGTGATGACCTTTTCTTTAAAAATATTGTTAATAATAGGCACTTCTATGTAAAGTATTTATATAACATACTTGAAATTCATGTATCATGGACTACTCCATGCCATTTTTGTTAGTGGCAGGTTTTGGTTTGTTTTTGGCTTTTTTTTTAGCTACTGACAAAACTGCTACTGAGGAACTTTCCACAGCAGTACACTTTTGCAATATGCTTGCAGTTCTGAAGTGAAGGAGTTTCTGGGGGCAGGTGCACAGTGTTGCTGCACCACTCTGATAGAGCAGCATGGGCCCTGTCCTCAGGATGGGAAGCCTTTGGCATCATCTCCCTCATCCAGTTTCCATGAAGCAGGCAAAAAAAAAAAAAAAAAAAAAAAAAAAGCATTCCTATGTTTTTGTGATTTCTGTAACCAGTTGTCTTTCATGAAAACTTAGAGCTTATAAAAGTGGAAAAAAATTGTTTTGTATGCCCTTTCATATCAGTCTGAGAATATCTAGTTGGACGAAGACTACTCTTCTAGTCCTTTTACTGGTGATAATAGCAGAAGTTTCATTACATGCTTAAAAAGAAAAGGTATTCCTAACTGTCATTGATTTTGTAATGACCCTGATAGACTCAGGGACCTTCTAACAATGAAAATGTGTAGACTATTTAATAGGTATGGTCAGGCGTTCCAGTTCAGCAGATGGAAAAAATATTCTCCCATAGGAATTCCCAGCACAATGGGAAAAACTGCATTCAACTATATTCTTTACTGCAGCAAACATTATTTCAACTTTCCTATCTATGGCTGCTCAGTTTCACTTACATGTTCTTTATGTTGAGCATTCTTGATGTGGTTTTATACTTGAACAGAAAATTTCATATATTGCTTCCTTCACCATTGTTCAT